CAGGTTATGGATCCTTCTTGTTACCTGCTGAAATTTCGAAAAAAATCAGCACTGCGCAACATTTAGGAAAATAGCACAGCTCTCGTGCTATGGATTGCCGCTTCAGCCCCGTCAGTGAGACGGCAGATTCCCGCACACTTCGTTCGCTTGTTTCAATGGTAAGCTGATACTGACAAATGCCAAGGAGTTGGCGCCATTATCAGTCGCCTTACGAACAAATGGTTGTTGTTGGCAACCACTGCCAATCGGGCTATTTTCGAGTGCCCCTTACAAACGAGTTTCCTCTAATGACTTTTTTCCTGAACTCTCAGTCACATCTCCTCTCTCCATATTTCGAAAATCAGAAAAATTCTTCTTTTACTTGAATTTTGCAAGGCAAGCAAAATCACCGTAAATTCAAAGCATACGTTCCTCCTCTTCGAGCAAAAATGCACCAGACTCTGAACGAGTGTGAAGTCAAGAAAATCAAACTGGCATAAGCTTTGCCGTGTTTTGACGTCAAGCTTTTGCCACTCCCACACCACGATAAGGGCGCATGTGAGAGGAGCAATGGTAAAATCAGACCTGTCTCGAAAAGTCATAAGGTTTTGTGGATGCCAAAGTTTCGCCAAGAATGCAGATTGATTCACAGTGAGCCTCCTCCATTACCTGCAAAAAAAAAAAAAAAAAATTAACACTGAAAACTTCTTCAGAAATTTTAAGAACAAGAAGAGAAATAATAAGAACAAGACGTTATGAAGTGCAGAAAGGCAATTACCCTAGATTCGTAACCAGAGAGGAAACCAATTTTTCTCGAAAATTCCAAGATCTATAAATATAATAATGAAAACAGAGGATATCAATATAACGTAAACAAGGTAAACATTGCTCATCGATTAAAAACAAGCGACGACTTAGAAAACCCCAGCTGTATAACAACAGAACTACACTTCAGTGCGAAAAACTCCAACCTTATCATTATCTTTATCACAGGCTGCGCGAATGATGTGCATGTATTGATCAACAAATTTTTTCGGATACGTACGAGAAGCACCAAAATCAAGCAGAATTAATCTTAGGTTGCCTGTGACAGGATCAGTGCTGAGGTAGAAATTTGACCAGTTCGGATCGGTCTAAACACAATTCATAAATTAGAAAGGAAGGACAATAGCACGTTCTTAATACACTACGATCTCCAGTGCTGCCAAGACATTCTAATACTTTACAGTTTCGGCTGAAGATCTGACGCTGGTGTCTCGGCACAATGGGTGCAGCTGTGGTATACTTTGCATGTTTCCTGATAGTGTTTGCCACCTACATCGCTTACGTACGCCGCCCCCTCGAAGGTTGCCGAAATAGGTGCTATCACACTGGCATACGACATCCACCAGTTGTCAGCGTCCCCCGCCGCATGTCCAGTCCACTGGACTTCTTAGAACATCTCATCACTTTTTAAAGCATTTCACCAAAATAGCAAACCAGCTAAAAATCATTGGCGAAGCGCAATGGGTGAGTCCGTGCAGTCATGCGTTTTTGCAGTGTTTCGTGCAATAATGAGATCGCTACGAAACACAAC